TGTATATATATAAACAAATGAAATATTAAAGTGGTACACGTTTTAAGAAGTATACAAATAATTTACAACATTCAAATTTTAAAATTTCGGCTTTCAATCTTTAAAGATACTCTTTGTTTTGGGTCAGCTTTTAAAAAGTACTGTATTATTCATTACCACTCGGTGGACTGTAAGTTCTGTCAATAGCGACTTCCGAGCCCTATTTATGCAAATCCTAAAACCATCAGTGGTTTTGAGGATCGTTAGCGGGAGGTTGAGATTTTTGACTTAAATAAATGCGTAATATCTCAAGAAAGTTGTGTTTTAATTTTAAGTCGACCTTTACAAAATTGACGAATTTTTTCTTATACTCCCTGCGTTATCTCATCAAAGCGATTGTCTACCGATATATTTTCGATTTTTTGATTCAGAGCCGCGTTGTGATCCCCTGGAAGGGCCGTGCAATTCAACTTTTCTTTTATTACAATAACTCAGTGACATTTCGATTCTTTATTCTTCAAATATTATATAATATAGTATTGGTATTTTTTAAAAAAGAGATTTTACTAGTTCATTAAAAAATAGTAAAAATAGATATTGTTTTACAAGAATTAACCCTACTCTCCCATAGTATTTCTCTGAGGAAGAAAAGAAATACTAAATATTCAATAGTATAAGCTAATGGCAACTCTAGTGTACATATGAAGTCAACAAATGTAAAAACAGCACACAACGGAACGAAGCAAAAACCAAAACAAAAACGAAAAGTTGAGTAGACAAGTAGAAATATAAAGAGATAAAAAGCAAATTGGCGTTTATAATATCAGCTAAGTTTGTTTCCGAAATGAATCCAAAGAGGCGGAGGAGCCGACGGAATGAATCATTTGTACAACGCGAATGTTGGGAACTTTAGAGCATAGTCATCGTGTATGCCTTCGCGACTGAATCGTCAGTTAATTTTTTGGGTGGCGGTAAACGCCAGTGTATTGCGGAGTAACGTGGCTTGCATTAAATAAAATTTTAACTTATTTTTCTACTAGCTTCTTTTGTGTTGCTTAATTATGTAGAATGTGATTTGCTAATATTGAAATATTTTGCTAAATTATTTAGTGCGGTTTAAATCGATTTTTTTTAAGAAATATAGAATCTGTGAAAAATGCCTATAGTTGGAGCACACGAAGGAGGGGTAGACCAAGAGAATCAAAATATGAGAAAAGAAACCAAAATATATTTAAAACATATAAGGAACAAGTGTAAAAAAGTTTTGTTTAAAACAATAAGCATATAAATAAAAAACAAATGATCACAATTGTATAATGCTTACGAATATTCATATAGAGATTGTTACAATTACCATTATTATTACCGGAATTGACAAAATAAGAAAATAATTATGTAAATTGATTTAAAGTTAATGCAAACCCAAGTTTTGCAAACCCATTTCACCGTCCTTCCTTAAAAAACTACTGTGCCTTTAAAACGGAAAATTCACCTAAATATTACCCAAATTTTGTTAAGCTGCGTTCAAAGACTTTATGAAAAATTTGTATAGTTATTTTTTTACTCTTAACTATACGTATTCCGCAACAACTCRGAGAAGTGTAAACTTGTTTGGGAAACCGAATCGTCTACAACAAAACAACTCAAAGATGTCGTCACTAAAGGTTGCTGTTCGTGTTCGCCCCTTTAACGCGCGGTACGTACCTTCATTTCCATATTTGCATAGCTAGCTAGTATGTATGTGCTAATTTTTATACGTAGTTACAATTATAACTTGCAATGGTTATTAAAAAAATTATTAAATATAGAGGTTATAATTAGGTAACGCATTACTAAAAGAGAAACATGCCCAATGCACACCTATGCCAAACAAATCTGCAAATGCTAATTAAGTATACTTTATTTATTTGTCTTCACGTATTCAGGTTTGTATACACAAAGATCTTTAAGCTAAAAGCATACGTAGGAACATTGTATGTTTTTTTAATAAAATWTGATAGAAAAAATTGTGTTGAAGCTTACAGATTCATACTATTAGTAATAGTTATAATATAACTTGTCCGTAATAAGCACTAAATTCTTTAAAACTATTAATTAAAATATATTTCTACAAATTTGAAAAAAAAAACTATGCGAATTTTTAACTTAGAATTGTATAGCGATATTTCCGCCTTTCATGTTGTTGTTGTTGTAACGGCAGAAATTCTGCCGAGTTGACAGTCCTTGACCGGATAAAAATCCGGATCCGTTCCGGTTTTCGTAGACCCGACTGTCGTGGGAACGGTTCCGCCTTCATCTACATGTATGGCATGATAAAGTTATATTAACGTTGTATGTTCTCATTTGAAAAAGTATTTTGTACCAGCTTAGTTTATTTAGGTTATCATGTCTTTCTGAACTTTTAATGTATTTTATTTGATTGAAATATTTATTAACGTATTGTTGATGTAAGATCTCAACTTTATCATCTAATGTTATCTCCATATTTTATAAACTGAGGAATACGGGTTTAAAATAAAAACAAATTACATACAAATGTAAATAGAACTTTTAGTTATAGATGGTGTTGCTGAGCTAATAGATTTTTCAGATGTTAGTAAATTCGGTTTGCTTTAGTTTACGAAACACTCACTGGCACCTATAGACCCTTTGGTTCGGACAGGTTATATGGACCGGGATTTAAAATTCCRGCAAAAATATGAATTCAGATTATCAGAATCGATTTGAAAATATTTTATAATTCTTCATGAAAATAATAATGAAGTTTTCTATTCCAATATTTTGTTCACAAATTATTTATACCTTGAGTAGTGTATATGTATTAAATCCCGCAATTTGGAACACAAAGACAAATACTTCGGAAGTTTATACATATATTAGTAGGAGATCCCAACATAGTACGACCATCACCCATCGTATTACGGGATGAAAATAATTTTTATATAAAACTTATTACATTAAAATATTAATTTCGAGGAGGTTGACTGGAAATTGTGATGCTAAGTGTAATTAATAAATAATTAAAAAAAGATTTTTTTTAAACATTATCCGCACTCTCTTACGCAATAAACTGTAGACTAATCGAAAGTATATAGCTTATAGAATATGCAAATATGGTTCTTCTTTTTCCCGGTGCAATTATTAGGCAGGCAGGTAGAATAGTATTATTTGAGGCAGGTACATAGAGGTAAATTGACAATAGTGATTTGCAACTATCCACTTACGCCATAAACCTTATATCAAAATAAAGATAATTTTATTGCGAGTATAATGACATAAGGTKGGCTGCGAGAAATTAGTGCTGAATCCCGGTTGTCGATTTTTAAAATCTTTCGATTATTCTGCAGTTTATTTCGTGAGTACGTGTAATGTTTAAAAAAAATCTTTTTTAAAYTATTTGTTAATTACACTTAGCATCCCAATTTCAGTCAACCTCCTCGAAATTAATATTTTAATGTAATAAGTTTTATATAAAAACTATTTTCATCCCGTAATACGATGGATGATGGTCGTACTATGGTGGGATCTCCTACTATATATAGATTTAGCCATGGTCGCTTTGATATACCATATATAAGAGCTAGTCCCCCGTTTTAGAGCTATCGAACTAAGATTATTCACACACACAGCAATCTTTCCTAGGAAGTGCTCCTTTGTCAGAGCTTTTTTATAATATTTTATTCAATTATAAATGCATCAGTGAAGGGTGTTATAACTTTGGTGCAGCCGAAGTTAGCGAGTTATCTTGTATTTACCTAAATTTCTCAATCGATGAAAAATTAAATTAAATATCATGAAGTACTTAAAGTTTTTTAGATTACTAATAGCGAAAACGTTTGTTTATATGTTTGTACGTGAAACGATTTTAAAGTGAAAGATATGTAAAATATAATTTAAGCTATTGCATAGATTTAATACAAGTTATCATGTTTAATTATAGTGAAAACGATATGGATGCTCAGCTCATTGTGCAAATGGATGGTAAGAAAACACGCCTCTTGAAACCAAAATTGCAATCCATACGCGACGTTGGACGCGATAATCATCATGACTTCACATTTGACTACTCTTACTGGTCATTTGATGAGCATGACAGTCACTTTGCAACGCAAGAGGAGGTTTACAACGATCTGGGTACAGATGTCATCGACTGTGCTTACGAAGGTGAGTAAAACAAATGTTGAACATAGAAAGGAGCAGTGATTTATATTTTAATTGCATAACTATGTGAAAAGAATAACAATGTAACGCAGCGAAGAGTCACACGCTGCACGTACGCTGTGAAATTCAACCAGTGTGCTTATGAATATTAGAAAAAATGGCAACAAAATGTAAAAGTTATTTGTAGTCGTCGTTTGTACACAATACACATATGTACACAAACTGTAATCAAAAATGTTATTGGGATTTTAATGAAAACTTAATAAATAATAAATGGAATATTTAATAAAATATGTTTTTATAACGACTGTTGAAAATAAGGCCTAACACCAACATCATAATTATGAAATACGGATTGCAGAAAATTGGTTTGGAAATTTAATTTCCGAATTTAAGAAACACCCTCTCAACCTTTCTCCCAATTAACTAATTGTGAAAGTTTCAAATTTTATTAAGTGGAGTATTCACACAACGCTAGATGGATGCTCTGCAATATTAAAAATGCTGGGCTCTATATAAATGTGTATGTTTGTATATTTATAGCTACACAAGCATTAAGTCATTCACAAACACATTTTTTATTAATTTGGGTATCTATAATATTGCATTGATTATTATTATTTTTTTTTTTTTTACTTTTTATTCTACTTCTAAAACCTCTCATAATTT